CTTCTTTATTTACATTTATTTTTATAGTACCCTAGAGAAGAATTATGTAATGATTTTATAAAAAAAATCCTAAACCCTAAATATTTTTTTTATCGAATTGAGATGAGAAATTTTCAAATACATTATGATGATTACAGAGCTCAAATTGACGTAAAAATCTAGACACATAGCTTAGAATGCAGTTGCTTATTCAATAATAGGCGCCCAAAGATATTTTTTAGACGTGATGTTACATACACAAAAGAATACATTCTCTTGGTTTACCGTATAGCCTAATCAGTCTGTAGTCGACCGAATCAAAAGATCTAATTACAGAAAGCAACCTGGCATGTAAATTTACAAAGCAGAAAAGCACATTCATTCACTAATTCACTTGCATTGGATTTTAACGGGTGTAAGTCGTACAAATTTGTTTCAGATACAATTATTTACCTGCTGTAACAGCGGCCATTTTTTTATACCCCCCCTTCCCTCCCTTCCCCATAGTACGCGAAGGGAGTGAATAGTCTAATTTTTCCCAATTTATGATTCTAACAAAAATTACTTTGATATACACAGATGTGATTTTAAATTTAATCATAACCATTACAATTTTCTTCAAAAATGATTGGTGCATTAGCTGCTCTACTTTTCACTTATCATTCTGTAGGGCTGTAATCGGAAAGCGTAGGCGGACATTGGCTGTAATCGGACAGTCGAAGTAGCCAATCATACCAAGTCCACTGAGCTAAATCCACCAATCACAGAATTAATCGCAATAACCATAGCAACAACCACTCCTCCTAGAAAAATATCGAGGAATTTCCAAAATGGAGGAATTTTTTTACTTTAGACGGTCTCTACCAGAGATATTTGACCTAAATGCATTTGTTGTTTTCGGAAATTGCAACGGTTATGATTAATTGGTAACAGGACTTCTTGTCGTCCAATTCTGTCTGTAAGCATACTCGTGAGTGACAAATTGGACTCCCGCTTCGCGGTCGTCCAACTTAATCACTCGTATGAATACAGACCGAATTGGACTCAACTCGGTCCTATTAACATTAAGTGACAACATTAGTTTTGTTAAGGATTTTCTTGTTTTGGGACTTTAATTTCGTCCGATGAAGTTAGGACGCATTGGACATAAACGTCCTTCAGACAAAGCTTTCCAAGGGAAATACTTCAGTTTTTTATAAAGAAATGTGTACGTCCGCGTGCGATTTTCGATGCGAAAGAAATGGGTCAATATTATTTAGTAAGTGAAATTTACAGATATTTTGTCGAGAAATGTCTTATTCTCCTAGCGTTGGGCAAATAATTTCTTAGTCAACAAAATATAATCGATTACACAAACGGATATCTTTTGTTAATTTGCAGGTTTTGTCGTTTTCACTTTAAATTTGCTTATTAATTTCATGACAGTGGTGATCACTTAGTCTGCCTTTAGGTTTGGGCTTCGTTCAGAATAGAAATACTTCTGCCAACTAGCATCATTGTGTAAAATTCATGTCTTGAATATTGTTTTTGACTTGTGAAGCTGAACAGTCTTGAATCTATTATTGCTGATCTAGCTGAAGCACATTTTCAGAAGGAAATATCGTGTCATAATCATGCAAATGGTAAAACATCAAAGCTCACATAACCAATAATCAATTCTGCATATCATGCTTTTCGCATTAGAGTTCCGAGATCCACTGCATATGCATTTATAAACGTAACCTTCGGTTACGTTTTTGATGGAAAGACCATAAGTAAGGGCATCATTTGATGAGCAAACAGCACTGATAATCTTCTTGCCCTAAAAAAACACAAAACAAAACAAAAACCATAAAAAACAAAAACAAAACAAAACAAACAAACAAAAAAACCACAAACACAACTAAATCAATAAATTAGATATCAAAAGCGCAATCATCGTCATTAACAGCATCATCATGATCGCCCTAAAAGGCTTGATCGTCGTCACCGGTGTCGCTAACGCTACGTCATCGTAATAATTTAACAAATAAATAAATAGAGATTAATGAATATATGACTGAATGAATGAATAGATGAATGAATGAATGAATCATGAGCCATAAAGGGAAGTATTCTGTTCAGTTTAGTTTTTTAAACTCATTTTTGCCCCAGTAGTTTTTTTTTTTTTTTTTTCAGCAAATGTTTTCGCAAGGAGACGAGAACAGCGGTGGTATTGAGAGTGTCAGAAATGCGTAGAGGGGAAAGTATAAATATTCCCAAATGCTCATTAATAAACATTTTCGATATTGCCCTTGAAATTTTTTTGACCAATTTCTTAATTGAAAATTTGAGTCTGATCAAAATAAAAATTATTGTTTCTACTGGTATGGGTCCTCATTTCGTTTAAAAATGTTGGACACTTGATTTTTCATTCAAACTCGACCTCAGATTTACCTTAGATTTACTCACCAATACGTCCCTTACTTGCACGTCATTTTGGGCGGATATTCCAGGCGTCGCACTCTCCTTTTTAAAATCATGAACACAAGAGCTGAGGTTTCCAATCCCTCTTGGACCTGGAACACCCGGAGGGCCTCGTGAACCTCTTGTTCCGTTGAAACCCCGGGTTCCATTAAATCCCGGTTTCCCTGGAAGTCCAGGTAACCCGGGTGCACCACGTGCTCCATTGCTACCATTAGTGCCATTGTAGCCACGAGGACCTTGTGGTCCGGCGGATCCGTTCCTTCCTTGTGCGCCTCTTGGTCCTGGAATTTTGCTGACGTTTTCCTGAAATCGCACGGGCAATGTACATTTCTAATTATATTATAGACCATCAACTGTTCGCATCTCGAAACAAGCAATGTCCGCGGACATATTTTCGCGCCAAAATGAAGGCTGTTATTAATTTTTTTTAGGGTTTCACCCGGCAGTTTAACGTTTTGGACAGTTATGAGGCACGGCCAACTTTTAATCCAGGTTTCTTTATTCCTTCGTTCAAAGCGTTTTTCGGATAATGTTCCCTACTCGTTTTAGAACATCCAATCATCAAATTGTAGTCGAAAAGAATTATCGTAAATTTTTTCTTAAAGCTTTCAGATCTGAAATCATACTAACCCTGGATTAGCTATATATAAAATTATACTAAACCCCACTTTGAACACCTAGCCCAGATTATTATGTTCCAAATAAAATTCCTGTGTTATCTTAGTATGATATACAGCTGCATCACCCGGAAATTAACTATCAAGTTGATTAATTAAGGGAAAGTAATAACTGCTCTAAGATTTCAAAAAGCCGACATTTCAAGCATTTATAATAGGCACTTATCGCTCAGTTTCTTTCCAGAGGAGTTCCCGACTTCAGTGAGGAGTTGAGTAGTTCATTGTTGTTAATACGGTTCTCACAATCTATTGTTTTCATGATGTATGATATTCTCTTGATTATTTATGCGATATTTTGTATTGTTTATCAGTTTATTGATGTTTTGCCATCACATACTTTTGCAAACTACATAGAACAGTTCTATTTCTGATTACCGAAAAAAAATCAATATTCATATACGTTAAGCTGATCTGCATGAATTCTGCCCTAAATCCTAAACATCCACCCGCACAAGGAGCGTTTTTGACCAACAAAAGACACCTCTCTTACCAGTTTCTCTAGTAGAAACGTCACATTTTGGGTGAGCTGATTGATTTTGTCAATGATCTCATTTTCTACCGGGCTCCTTGAGGGTTTCACTTCCCCCAGAAACGTTCCACCTGCAATCGTATAAGAATACACGCACAAATATTAGATTGATTGACTGGATGAAACATTTTTTATGGTCGTCGACCTTACTGTATGTATGCGGCAACGAGTCAACGGAACAGAGGAACGGAGAAGAGGCGGATGAAAAGCGTTAATGGTTTCACGATAGTGAATTATGTTGGACAAAAACACATTTTTAATTGAACCACATTCAAAAATTGCCTAAGGGCCGATTAACACGCTATAGCTTAGCTTTGCTGCATGCGATAAGCTTACAACAAGTCTAAAACACAACTTAAGACCATTTACGGAGAAGGGGCGAATTGAAAACGTTAATGGTTTCACGATAGTATATTATGTTGGACAAAAACACATTTTTAGTTGAGCCACATTCTAAATTTGCCCAAGAGCCGATTAACACGCTACACCTTTGCCGCATGCGGAAAGCTTGCAACAGGCCTTTGACACAACTTAGGACCATTTACGCGCTAAGACATTTTCACCTATGGCATGCCAATAAGTTTGTACCATTTGTGCTCGCAAAATTTTGAAAGGTATCTCTCTGGAAAACCAAAAAGTTTTTAAAAACGGCACAATACATTTGAGTCTTGCCGAACGTAGCCTGTAGAGTAGGCGTAATTTGGCGAGCGAGTGCTCGGTATTTTCTTAGCGAAAATCACGACCGCCATCTTTGATTTTAATGGCAGCAGAAGGCTGGGATGAGAAAGAAATCTGTACCAAGGGGGTGAGGGACACTAAAAAATAAGGAGTAAGGTGGGGGTGGGGGAGTCTAATATTTTGCAGCATTGGTAATAAATCGCTCACTAGGAATGAACTTACCCCAGCAAGACTGAGTTTTCGCCATGGTACAGTTTGTTTTTTTCCCAAAGTATAGGCCGGCTTATTGAAAAAAAAAAGCACTGATTTTTCGGTCTGCTGGATATTTATGATTTCTCTTGCAATTTAGTGGTAACAAGCACGAGTAAATTTTTCAATGATAACAAAATTGCACGAGCCCGTAGGGCAAGTGCGATTTGTAGTCTTTGAATGCGATTTGTAGTCTTTTTCATGTACATTACTATGACCTATTACCGGTTGGAAATAATAGATACTTATTCTGATTTTGGGCCGGAAAACTCCTATCGTTTTCCATTTACCATGCATTTCTTCACTTTTCTATTTGCGGAATTAATGCTTGTCGGCTGAGTAGTTGTACCAAAAAAAAAAACTTATTAATGCCGAATAAATATAAGCAGCTAAAACTGTAATGTGTCCCGAAAAGGTTGAGGTTAAAATGAATTATACGTCATTCTTTATTATCAAATATTGCTACACATTGTTGTACCGAGTACAGGCCGTTGCACCCTCTGTTTGCTAATGATTAAATTTGATGGAAGTAGGTTAGCCCAGTACTCTTGGAGACCATTGGCGTCGGTAATTTGACGTCAGCGTGGATATCACCATGCCTACAGCGTGCTAAACAAGAAATAATTCGTTTCATTTCCCACTTGCGCGTTCCCTTTTCTCCCTTCGCAATTAAATGATAAAATGACTATAATGAGCCTAAGCCTTTCAAACAGTTCGATCGTTCGCTATTTAAAAATATTTAAAATTGGATAATTTTCGGCGCAAAAGCCACGACTTAGTTTCAGTGATTCGCCTTGAAGCAACACTGAGCATTCTCAAAGCACTTCCTTCTCCTTCGTCAAATTGCATTTGTTTGAAATTTTTTGATTTTACAGCCAAAAAGTAATGCACATTAGTTCACATGGTTGAAACTGAGCTATTGCACGATTGGGATTTCTGTCACATTTTTCTCGTTATGTAGACCATTTTTAGTTCAAGATAGCCAACCTGATAAATTACCTGTAGTGGGTCCAACGGATACCTAAATCCGTGATTTATCATTTTAATCCAGTATTATCCTATCTTCCAGTAAATTTTCTATACGACAAAGATGCGTTGACGCTCTTTGTGTTTTCTTCAGGTGAGAGATCGATAGAATAAACAGCCTTCGATTTCAAACCATTAAAAAATCGGTGGAACGTAAAACTATCTGAGAGTAAAATGATTGAAGGAGCCAAGCTCATGATGTTGCTGAGAAGCCGGTATCATCGATTTTCACCGTAAGATTTCCTTTGCCCTCAAAAGGTGAGGGTCTTAGTCCTAAATTTCGGGTTTGTAATGTATCTGATCTTATCGTCTGTGTGTTAAAAGAATGCAATAACCTTGTATTAGAAACAACCGATCACGAAAAAGACAAAAGAAAAATACAAAGAACAACTGTATTTTTTGAATCCGAAAAAAATGCCGACAAAGGGAAAAGCCGGAATCATCAGGTTTGAGTAAATAAGGAGATACAAAGCCGAACTGAACGAAATGGCCAAATTCAATCTGTTGCTTTTCAATAACAATCGTATACTTGACTTATATTAATACATGTAATCCTTAGTGTTATCTTATGAGCTTTTGATGGTCATATTACCAGTTTGTACCTAGCGTTGTCACATGACTTCGTGCTTCTCAGTTGTAAGCTTCTTTTGTTTTTGCCGCATGAATGTGATATGAATGTAAAATACAATAACGTCTGTGAAAAAAAAACCTAGACAGTCGATAACAGTATTTTAAGGTTACGGCTGTAAAAGGAAAAGATGAATCTGTGTTAATAAAAGAACCATGTAAGAAGATAGGGACGGAGTTCGCTTGGCTTGTCGCACTCTCTCCAGATGGGAACGTGCATATAGCTTTTAATATCTTTCTTGTCGATAGTTTGTTTAATACTTTTTAGTGTGAGGATATTTTGGCGATGCTCCGTACGAAACTGATGTTGTTGTTTCGCTTTGTTTTGTCTTGTTTTGTTTTATTTTGCTCTTTTGTTTTGTTTTTTGGTCTTTTGGTTTTTTTTTCTTAACATGATATCTCCCGCTGTATTAGACATACTACAGCAAAAATAACTGCATCCGTGTCACAGCCTGGGTAAACAAATACAGCCTCTGAATTTGATTTCATTCTTCTGCTAGCAAGATTAAAAAAAAAAGAGACTGCTGTAAAAAGACAAAAAAAGGGTTGGATTTCAGTCTCCCTTTTGAAGAGAAAGATTGTTCGGGAAATGTTTCGCTTTGAGATCGAATCATGTAGCCAAATTCTTTATTGCGTGACTAATCACGTGCCGGACTTACCAGCTTAATCTTGATCCAGAAAAACTGGATTTACATTTCCATCTCGTTTTTCTAAATATTGCTGTTTCAAAGCCGGCCCCCCTAAAGCGAGTTAAAAAAATTAAACGTAGGAAATAAAGGAATAAGCTGTAGTAAATGATATTGCAATACTAATGAAAACGAAGTTCGTTTTGTTGAAAAGTGGACAAGCAGAAGTTGCTTAATAGTCTTAATGGGTGATACGTATGCAATATTAAAATAGAAGTATTGTTTTCTCTGAAAAGAATCAGCTCATTGTTAAGGATTTGTAGATATATCTTGAGTTCTCTGTAGTATTTCATGGCTTGTATTTCAATATTTTATATCCTTACTTCTAAACATAAAAATCTCTTACCGTTACTAAAACTAGCAGTGTAAAAGATAAATGCTGTGAACGCCAAAGAGGCTAGTGACATCAATGTTAGAATTATCATCCACGTCACGAGACATTTCATCTTGCGAGAAGACTTTCTGGGAGTGGATCTCTCAAGCACATCGATGTACATCGGTTCCAAGTGGAAATCCTTCGGCCTGGACCAACTCTTGTCGCCAGTGTCATAAAGACTGCTGCTACTCATCGACAGGGCTGTAATATTCAGAAAATCTTGTTTGATTGTCGAGTAATAATTCTCTTTAGAGGGAGCGAGGGCCGCGTGAGACCCGTAATCATTTTCAGCTCTTTCTTTATTCATATTAGCTCATCAAAATCGCGACTGTTACTTGCTCGACTGTGTTACTAATCTGGAAAAAGAGATCGCGCGACTACGGCGTAGTTAGACACTACATTCCCGCCCTGTAGGTCAATCAATTAGGTGTGTGCCGAATGACAGAATGTAAACAAAGCATGAGTGGCTTTTCCTCTCCAACAGGTTTAACTGGCACTTTTAAATCACTTGGCAGGAAAATTATTTTGCGTGCATTTCTAGTTATCGATAATCATAAAAGTCCTTGAGAGGTCAGTGTTAAAATCCCTAGTTGAAGGGGCCCGCGGTATACCGTGCATGACGAAGAATTGGTCATTTCCTCTAGTTCTAGGGATTTCAAAGCTTATGGTGGAGTCTCGTTATTTGAAGCTTCAACGTTGAATTCCTCAGTCACATGACGTACATCTTTCCCACGAGTCTTCCTTCTGCTGGTTTTTTTATTTTTATCTAAACACTTCTGCTAATGTTTAATTCATCGATAAAAGGAAGATTTACCATCCTTTATCTACTTGGAGGAGCAGTCACTCTGAGATATGTTTTGTCATTTAAAACATGTAATCGTGTTTTCGAGTCACGCTGTGGTACTTTTTTTTTTCTTTTTCCCAGAATTTTATGCTTTCTATCAATTTTGAATGAAGTCATGTTTGTATGATGTGGTTACATCGGAGTAAAGCAACGACTGAATCAACGACAATTTTAAACAACAATTTAGTTGGACCTCCATCGAATTCCAAGAACTCCTCTTTACCGTTAACACTAACCCTTGTTTCTTAGCTCTTTTCTTTGCTAATCCGCCTAGATTCCTGGAGAGTTTGGTATTAGATCAACTAATACTTGCCCAACTGATGTTTTTTTTTCTTTTATTCTTATCACTCGTCTTCTTGACATTGTATTGATATTGTAAGGAGAAATTCTGTCTTGGTCACTCCTGGGAGTTGAAGAGTTAATTGTTTTAGGATAAATGCAACAAATGGTGCGGATCAATCGATTGTTACACAAATGCTCAGTGAAGTGTTTGCGTGAGCGAATCCGCATATAGACATTGTGGGTTCAATAGACCTGATTAAAAAGTGTGCTGGGCAGAACCTTCGGATGGCCCTTTGGTGAACCTCTGCTTGCAAAATTTGAGGATAGCTTAATACGATAAAGACTAAGCCCTTTGGTGACGATCAATGAGAATTTCAAAACACTTTAAATAGAAGCTGATATCCCGATAAATGGACTACAAATCCTGGTAGGTCACGGGGGAGTGTGTTAGCGCCGTAAAAGAGCGTTTATTTTTGTTTCAAACCTGACTTTTCAAGTACGACACTTTCGGAACTTTGAACATATTCTGACTATTTGTCGTTGGATCTGATCCCATTCCACGAAAGTGTCCACATCCGGTAATCAAAAGTCCATTTCCTTGTCACTGTTGACAGATTACTCATTTGATTTGTCTGAGGATCTCTTACAGGGCGAAAACATTAATGGAATATCTGTACAAACGGATATGGTTTTAATTTGAATTAAATTCAAAGAAAAAATAGAAATATAATCAAACGCGTAGCATAAACATTTTCTGAGAGTTTTGATTAGTGCTTTACCGATTCCTGCAATATTTAGTGTCTCTTTTCTCGGTTGGAGCTCTTATCTTTTTAAGTAGCAGAATATAATCTGACACAGAGAGGAAATATTTCACAGTTTCCAACGATTCGAGTCACACGAAATGGAATGAAATGGAAGATGATTAGTATAGAAATGTTTTTCGAGCAAAGCATGTTGAAGACTATCCGTACAATCCTCTATGCTTCACGGTAATCTTAGTGGAGAATTTCATATTTTACATAATAGTGTCTAATCTAATATGGTCTGTGCCCTCTGCGACTTCCTTTTCAAGATGTTAAACCAGTTCAAATTCACGCATAATAGTTTGGATTTTGCTCAGTGTTTTTACATTACTGTACCCTTCCATTGCATGCAGTGTTTTAAAAAGAAAAGCTTCATGTTACAATTTATCCTGCTGATTATCTCATGTACGAGGCATAGTCCACCACTTTAACCGGACGCTGCACCCTGGACCTTGGACTCTTGACTATGCACTCAATTTCTTTCTTTTTCTTTGTCCTCCTCTTCTTGCTTTTTTTGTTTTTGTTTATGTTTTGTTTGTTTCTGTTTTTGTTTTTAGAAAGTAAGTATCAGCCGCGAATGAAAAAAAAAAAAAAAACGAAATAATGTTCAGAAATATGATAAAAGTAGATAGCAACAACGAAAATAATACAATACGCAATTTTTCAATGTTTTATTTTATTCAAGGGTCGGACCAGTTAGATCTTTGACAAGAATGTCATCTTCATTTCATTAGTTTCGTGTGTATTGTATAACTTCGCCTAGCGTCATACATAATTTCTATGCAATGATTCGATCTACTCTAATTCATAGAAAGCTGGTGACTGCAGCGGTCTCGAGAATAAAAATATGCAAGAGAATACCTTTTCAGTTTATCTCACAGCAGTTGATAAACCAGCCCCTGCACAGCGGCAAAAGCCGCTTTACATCTGTTTAAGTTTTCGGGGTAGGTATAAAGAGAACTTGTTGGTTGGAACCAATCATGTTTTATGTACTCCATCCCAGTTATCAGTATGTTATTACTAGTATCTGAAAGCTCTGATAAGCCAAAAGTCTTTAACACCTCTAAACGAACTGATAATAGTCAAATCCCTCCTCTTGCTTTACAACCTAGTTTATCACCAAACGTAAATCTCACGCGACGCGTCCCGCATATTTCTTTTTGAGTTGTAAGTATACCGAAGGGATGAAAACATGGTCTTTTTGGGTCGAAGAATCGCAGTGGATAGAATGCTGACTAAACAAGGATTAAATTTCATCTAACACAAGGAACCGTGCAAATGGTGCCAGCTCATTTGTCCGCTTCTTCGTTTTTACCAAAAAAAAAGTGTGGGTCACGGACTTTCCGGCCCCCCTCTTCCTACGGACATTTCTCTCTCACTCTCTCCAGTGTCACTTGTCTGCAATAGAGTGGTTTTGTTTTGCCTGTGTTTTGTTATTTCATTGCTAGGTCGAGTGTAGTACATTCAGGTTCTAAGGTCTACCGTAGGAGTGAGAGATGTGAGGTTGAGGTTACTGTGTTCCAACACGCAAGACGAATAAAAAAAAGGTTATATTGGATTAACAAAATATCATTAAAGGATTAAACGATGAGAAGCCTTCGCGCTGAAAAAATATAATGTTTGGTACAAAATTAAAGGCGAGATTCCATTGTTGCCACTTCTCAGAATAGCCATGCATATGCTTTCATAAAATACCGGTGAATAGAGTTATTTGTTGGCTTGAAATGTAATATACCCATAAAATATTTGAAATAAAAATCGTGAGATAACAGACTTTAACTGACCCGGCATCTTGAACATAGGGCAAAGAATGGAAAGGAGAATACAATGAAAATCCAATTTCTATCGTACCTGATTTGTCTCTGTCTCAAATTAAAAATTCAATTTCTCACGAAGACTTATTGATCTTGTGGCTCCCGCCGGCAATATCGTGACGACAGAACGTGTCCGATGCGTGAGGTCTTATTTCCTCGGCCTGCGGTTTCTTAGAAGTTAACGCTAGGAGCAGATAACTATCGTTTACAGTTTGATTAAAAGAGCTTTCAGGTGAAAAAACGATTACGGTTGGTTCGTGATCTGACCGATTCCGTCTTTCCATGGGTATCGGTGAGTTAATTTTCAGGAACTTACCGTTGGCCTATAGTTGAGAAATACAGACCTACTCGAGGCCTACGTGTAACAGTTTTACTCACTATCAAATCACGAAAAAATGACACGCCTCTTTATATTCAATACAGCAAAAAAAAGCATTCAGTTCATGTTTGTTTTGATTCGCATGTTGACCCACTCGACGCAAATCCTGTGCAAGGCTTGTTTTGTTGTGAAGAAAATAGAAGTGAGATTACTTTTTGGTGAGTCTCTAAACGAATACAAGAAAGAATGTTTTGATCCTTAACTCTGCGGAGGGTTTATTTAAATGTCAGACGCTAGTTCGAAGAGGGAAACGGCTGCACGTGTTTTCCGCCGCGCTTCTGTATCCTTCCACAATTGTTTGTTTATTTTGTGGTTCTGCTAAATTTAGACATTATCCGTTAGGTTGACCTACGAAATCATCACATGAATCCTAACTTCTTCTTTATTATAATACGATTCCTTCTAAAGTTTTACCCAATATTTGACTTTAGCTTTCCATATCCTTCTGAATACATTATAACGTGGGGAATTCCAAGCTAGAACTCAAGCGGAAATCAATTGAACCTTATAACAAGTAGCAGGAAGTCTTGTATTTGAGTTCCCTCTTCTTTTTTGCCTTTCTCCAAAGCGCACTTATTCTTAATTGAGAAAGGCATTTTTCGCCCATGCCATATTTTCATTTTTATTTTGAAATAATTCTGAAGCGTTAAAGATGGCAACAACACTTTTTGGCATCAAACCAAAACATTTTGAAGCTGTATTGTGTTGTATGTGTTTATCTGGTGTAGCTGTTTTCCTTAATCACGCGCTAAAATATTAATTCGTTTATTTATTTAATTCAATCATCTGAGAACTGGGCACGTGCAGAACTACAAATAAAAGTGCAATATCATGATGATAATGCACAAAGTACCCGGTAAAACATGTCAATCGTGTTTCTAAGTTCCTAATAGCTTCCTGTACTTCGCATACTTGCAAGAATTCCTCATACCAGTGTCATGATCCTCAACGTCCTGTTTTCATCCACCGAGAAACACGCTTCTGGTTTGGGCACTATGCACGCACTTGTTCTTGTAAAAAATATAATTTTGTGTGAGTTACATTCAAGTTCTTCAAAGATGTAACTACCTTGTTATTCCACACATCCTGATGTTACAAACCACATAGGTTCCTGTTTGCATTAAAATCACTTAGGAAGATTGCTGTGTAATTATTATCTCACCATATTTTGTTTATGTTACAAATAAGGGTAGGAAGGGGTGTAAACCACATTGGCATTCCAATCCATCCGGCCCTAAAATAGCACACCACATCTCAAATAACGTTCTCGACTAATCCAAATGATATTGAGAGATGGATTTTCCATAATCTCATTCAGATCTATGGAAGCTTCAGTTTTCGTTCACTTATAGGTACCTTTAGCAAACCACAACGGTGAAGGCAACGAGGACGTGACAAAAAAGTAAAGGAGATCTAATAGGTGCAACAATAGCTCAGCACGAGCGTTTTAGACCTTTGTACTTTTCTTAGTTGTCCTGGGCAAACAACAACGTAAAATCTCCATAATTTGCGTGGTTTGAGAACGGAAATCTCGACGGCAAATTTATTTAAGTTTCTAGTTAGAACTCGGCTCATTGTTGATCATATACGTTTTATTAAAGTTGAGGCGCAGCGCAGTTTGTTGCGATAAACGCACGTTCGTCCAATTGTAAACTCTAATTAAAAATATAAATTTATTTCTTAATCGACTTCTTCCTTGGCGTTTTCGTCCCGGCTACTTAAGTCCTTACTAGGGCTGTTCGGCTAAAAATTCACAAGGAACATTATATTAAGCAAATTTTCAGAAAGGTATATTTTCCATGGCGTGGCTCGGTGTGTGCTCAACTATTTTCTGTTATCAGCATTCATTGCCAAGCATTGTTAAGGGTTTTTTTTAATAACTTCTTGAAATCTTATCCTGTCGATAGTTCTTTTTACTCGCAGTCGGTTGCAAGCTACGCTCCCCCCCCCTCCCCAAAAGGTGAAGGTGAAATGGAAGCGAGGGAACAGGTTTGCGTAGACGTTCCCTCGCCTCCGTTTCACCTTGGGTGAGAAAAAGGAGGGGGGGGGGAGAGTACGGCTACACGTAGGCTATTGGTTTGCCTATGCATGCGTAACGCATGGGATACTCGTTACTAGATCAGTAAAAATTATTTAATCGTTGGATAAGTAATTTCATAGAACAAACTTCTTAAAATTCTTAATAAAAATCATAAATTTTGCAATGTTTTTTATAACAGCGTCCCGACAGTAGAAAACTGTGATCACCGAGCCACTTCCGCGCTATGTCATATCAATGCCCGATAATGTATCCCTGTAACGAGGAAATCATCCCGACGGCTAATACTATTGACCCTAAGCAAGCTTTACAGTGAAAGAAATCAGTTTAAAGGAATTCCGCCATCACGAAATCATGAGTCTTCTTGTCGCTCATCAGCATATTAATTAGAGTTCAAAGAGTTCCCCAATAGCAATCGTAGACATGCAATAATTGCATCTGATATCATTTCTTTCTTCGATGACTTCCCTTAAGTCGCAATTCTCTGTCCCTTTGCTTACAAACATTCTCGGCCTTCTTCATTTGAGAAAGTTTCGTTACGGCATATCTTTAAGCGTAAATTATTAGTTTACTGTGGTTTCCGCGACATTTTTCGGCTGATAGATGCTTACATTTTCTATTGCAGCAATACAGCATTCCATTATGACATGATTCCGTCCGTAAAACCTTAGGTAAAATGATGAAACTTTTTTTTCTTCTTTTTCTGACCTAAGAGTGTCAACCTTTTACGTGCTTTATTTGAATTATAATTCTCATATAGCACCATGCAGAGAAGCACACTGTTTTGGAATTTCCTCAAGGAAACATATCTTTCAGAGACTGAGATGAGATAGCATTTCACCTAAGAGCAAAAACATGGTTGACCCAAGATTTTTCCTCATACAATGTGTTTTATTTCATGTCATTTTACATTTACTCGTAAAATCAGTTATTTTTAGGGAGGATTGCATCAGCTAAGCGAAATGCGAAAATAGATTTACACCGCTGGCGTCTATTTCAACATACCTCATTCCATGCGGCGATTTTTCAATTGAATATTTCTCCTTGCTTATAATTATCACCTGAATCTCTTTGGTAGAAAATAGATTGAACGACTATGTTCTTCAAAAAGCTCAGCGCCGCGAGAGGGTTTTGACTTTCTGCGCATCGCATGCATATGCAGTATCGTGCCAATCAAACACCAGATCAGCTTTGGCTTAAATGATTGACAATGTCGTAATATTGAATCGAGTGAGTTAATCTTCCATCGCAAAGCTTAAAAGGACATGGCTGTGTTGACGTAAAATGATAGACTTACCCCTTCTTTTAACTAACTACGATTAAAAGCGAATATTCATGGCACATTTACCCCTGTCTTATTTAAGTTGGGCATTCCCAGTAGTGTAGGTAGCAGTACATTTTTAAGAACCCACTCCGTAAAGTTTCAGTGCATGTGCATTTGTAATTTATACTGTATTTAGAGGTAGTGCTCGTCATCTGCACAAATTTTGCGTCATTGGTGTCACAGGTAACACCCAAAAACTTTTTACCCTGCAAGAAAAGGAAAAAAAAATCCTTTAACGCTTTAGTTTCGTCAAACTTTTTCGTACAGATTTTAGTTCTAACTTAGCCCGTAACCTTTTCAAATGGCAGCTTTTAAAAGTAGTTTTAAGACACGGAAAAAAACAATTATTTTGTGAAGGGATGAAGTTTTCAAAGAATTTTAAATGCGTCCCTCATGCCTATGTCGAAGCAAATTTCATTTGAATTAAAAGCTGAAACTGCATAAGGGTAAGGGTTAAGGTTAAGGATTTCCTCGATTTTGCTTCAACGCACACCTGGAAAGATATAGATGTGTCTGGTTATATACTTCAATTGAAAAATCCGAAACCGAAGAACTCAGAGAACTCTTAGTAATTCTAGGAATATTAGAGTAGTCAGTCGTTTTCATTCGACACAAAATAAAGCACGTGGATATTATTCCACGGACATTATGCCGGTTCTGAGATGCGAACAGTCTTCCGAGAGCAAAGCTCAACAGGAAATGCCCAAGGAGAAATAAACGCGCACATTTTTGCTGGAGGCTATTGCGTTTATTATCTTTCAAATGTTTGTTTCAACGCGTAGGAAAAATGTTTATGAACAGTGTGGGAAGTTTACTTTTCAGTGTTCTCAGGTACGACTCTATGAACAAACAAGTGTATCCCTTCTTCTGTAACAGTAGCTAAATGCTCTTTCATCTAGTGTTAAATTTTAAACGCGCGGTGTTTTCGTATTAGACGCCATGTTTCAAAATCGAAGAATATCACTAGGAGTACATCCTTGGAAATTCTCCAGTTATTCTCCGGGGCATATTCGATCACGTGATGCCCTAAGACCAAACTCGCGCATGAGCTAAAATATTAGATGGATTGTAATTGCAAATACATCGCTGTTGAAACGAATAAATCTCAAAAAGTTACAATTACGAAAAAAGTTATCACACTTTCATTTCACTGCAGAGAAAACAAAATGTTTCTTGTCTAATTCTATGTTTCGCTAATGTTGGTATAGGAAACTATTCTTTTATATATTTCAAAACATTTAAAAATTTTTTAAAATTTTTTGACTTGCGGAAAGTGGGCGTTTTATGGTATCACTACTTCTCTACCACTCTACAAAGGCCACTTTTCTCTAAGCCCAAGGTGGTTTATGGTTGAAAGAGTGTGACTTACATTTGGTTCAGTTATTTGCACCTCTTGATTTGCATGGACTGATGGAGATACACCAGCACTGGCTTGGTGTTTGTAAGAACAGAGTGTCCAATTGCTATATCCGGGTCGTCCAGGAAGACCATTTGTACCATTGAATCCACGTGGTCCCCTCGGTCCCGGATCTTTGCTTATTTTTATTACCTGAAGCAAAGAGACATTGTACAATGTTTATTTTCTATATGTACATCTCTTGTGGGAATTCAATACATACAAATCTCTTTTTTTTATGATAATTTTCATGACATTTTGTAAAGCTGCTTCAAAATGTCTTTATATCAATACTATGAGTCAGCCAGTGGCAGTCAGTGTTTGTGTACTTATTGCAAACAACGTCGTATCGAGAAATGTTCTATTTTCTTGAACTAACTTCTCGCCTTAAACATAACAAGCCTTAATAATAATAGCCTTATTGTTATTTCTAACGTTGTAGGACTTTTGCTGAGGCTGCGCGGAAATGACCTATGTGTATTTAAAGTTAAAAGCATGACAAGTTATACTGTAAATTTACACCTAGATGATCAACTTCTATTGTAGTACCCCAATAAAGAATTGGCCATTACCAAGAGAAAATAAGACCCATTATTTTCTCCGGTCGTCAATCAACTTACCATTTGCTCTAGCCTGGTTATGTCTTGCTGAACGTCTCTCAGCTTTCCAGTTACAGTGGCATTCACTGATTTTACAATCTCCAAGTCGAGCTTTGCCTCATCTTGTTTCTATGGGCAGAAAAAGAAAAAACAATGGAAGACAAAATATTAAACTCAAGAAACAACATTGTTAAGGTAGATTTCTACAGTGCGACATTGCTTGGTTTTCTTTTACAAATCAAGAATGTATTGTGTACGCGCAATAGATCTTCTTGGTGCGAAAAATTGCCTCTTTTCTCCTATTATTGATACTCGTAATGTACCTGGACATTATCTGAGATGTTACCCTTGTCCAAATTTGTAACCTTCTCTCCGATCTCACTAATCTGCAATTGAATAATGCAATAAACCTTAAGTTATTTTTTCTGTGAACATGGTCAAAAAGCGAAAAAAAGGATGAAGTAGTTATAAATGTATAATTGCACGGAAAGGCTTTGTAACAATAATTTAGCTCCTTCAATTATAATTGTGATTGTTGTTATGATGATGATAGAAATTATTATAACATTGACGCCCATGATGATAATGACATTTTACTACCAAGCAGATATGAAATGTTTTGAATATAATTTTAAGTGTATATATCATATAACCTATAGGTAAAGTTAATACTCTGTTTTGTATAAATAAGAATATTTTAATATGCCAAACATGTTTTAATTTCTGGATTGGCACAATTTTTTCTTTTCTAAATTACCTGTAACATTTAGATATCATGACATGACATTATAATATTATTCAAATCTTGTGACAAAAATCATTTAATGATACTTTTGGATTCAAAATTCAAGATTCTCTATTTAGCACCGGTTATATAATTATTCCGAACATTGCTGCGCATAGTTCGTATTATGCGATTGGTCAAACCGCTCTCCAGACCTGTGTTTTTATCTTTCCGTGATGATTGATGAAATTGCCAAATACAACAGAGCTGAAAGATCGCCTTTGTCTCGCGATTTATGTGAAATAGTGCTAACAAATCTCGCTAAACGGCTGATAAAGGTACAAAAGTTTTCTATTCTGACAGCCATGAAACAAAATGAAATTTGGTACCTTTTTAAAACGCGTTTATAAAGGGACCGAATTTCAATAATTTCAAGCTTTTCTCGTTTTCTCCCAACATCCTGAGTGGGTTTATAACGGGAAAATGTGCTTTGGTAGTCAGAGTAAAATTGAATAAAACTATCGTGGTATCAAAAAGGAAAAAAAAAGAAAAAAAAAGACTATGGGTGTGACGAGAGAATAAGAAAAGGTACGCAAATAATTAGGCGATGTTGTTTACGACATGAAATACCGATATAAAAATGGCAGAGACTAGTAATGAACTGGGAAACTTAAGTTTAATTTCAGCGACGCTGAAACAAGTTAAGTATGGCAAAAATACAAAAATATAATATAATCAAAAATATAATTAACAACTTGAAAAAATTATGATCTGCAAAAATACAGCAACAAAACCAAAAAGCACAAAGAAAAAAAAAAGGAAAAGCAACAAAAAAACTCAGGTGATTTGAGCCCAAACCCAAGGGAGGTCTGGGTAGGGAACTACAAATAGGCTTTCGTTCTAGAACATACATGCATGATGTCATATTTAGCGAGATTTTGCTTTGAAGTAACTCTCTTATTAGGTGCACTTCTTTATTTATCGAAACTTTGAAACACTGTTGGGGAGGAAAAGTAAACAAACAACACTCACCTTTGCTTTCAGTTTCTCGAGTTCCCCGGCAAACTGAAATAAAAGAGGCGTTCTTAATCAAACAAAAATGGGTGAAGATTAAAAAGTACTTAAAGGTGCTAACGTTTTAGCTTCTCCCTTTTACCAATATTCTCGATGCAACATGCTTTAAAATCATCCTCGTAAGCAAGATTATCCTTCTGGCTGAAACAAATAAATCAGTTCTCAATGGTTGACAACGGATAAATCCGTAAACATTCTTTCGCTGAATAATATTGGAATTCACTGACTTTTTATACTTAGTCACGTGATGAACCACGTCTCCTACGAATATAACATTACATAAAAATATAAGCCAGATTGATAAGCCTTGCCTGTGATAGCTACCCACCGCTTTATCAGCAGCGCGTGACTGAATTGTGGAGATGTTCTGCTTCACTGCCTTTAGGTCAGCCTCAAATTTCGACCGTGATAGCTTCGACTCTAAAAAGAATGCAGGTTACTTATAACGTTGACTGGATCATGAATGATGAGTCACGAATTGCTAAATGACATTCTCTCTGATAAACGATGTTACAGTTGTGGCTGTTGTATTTGTCTTGTCAAGAGCGTGGGACAAAGGGAAAAGTGTGGGTCCTCCACTAGGATTCAATCCTCTGACCTTAAGAACTCTTCCGCAGAGCCACAGAGACTTAATGTTGAGTTGATTGAAATGTGACACAAGTCCTGTATATTGCAGCTCATTCGTGATAAGCCCAACAACTTCTTTCTATAATTCATTTCGGTTTCAAAATTTGGCATTCTTCTATTTCTATTTATCCAGGTGAAACTTCATCATCGGCGCTGACCTGATGTTGGCCGAGCTCACTACTGAGTTTTTTTGTTATTCGTAGGGCGGAATCCGCATAACCAAGTTTACGTGTGACATGCCCCCAGTAAACTGCGTGTCACTAGTCGGGAAAATAAAATTCCATCAAGGGTCACCATTCCCTTACTAAGTGTCGCGGTCTCTTTATTTCCCGGAAAGTTGGGGAAAACAATTTATGGCCGTGCGTATCATTGATCAGTAATTTCTAATATTGTGGGCCCAAAAACCTCCCGATACAAAATTCCACAGTTTTCTTTGAAAATACTCTAGTAGTCTCTTTCTCCTCAGTAGCAGATGGAAGGACTTTCAAGAAGTTTATAATCATTACTTTCATGCATTTTTCTGGGTCGGCTTTTGAGTGAGTTGTTGGCTTAAGAAGCTTTTGTACGGAAGTCTCGTGTTTCTATTTGCATGACATGCCAGGGCCGATATACTTTGAGTCCAATCACTATTATGTTTTATGAAAACGTAAGTCAAATAACTTATGTTTCAAACCTTTTGCACGAATCTGAAATAAACATTCATTGTAATTTCCTTCTTTTAAACACCATTTGAAAATTAAAATACTCATAAACTCAACTGTTTAAATCATCATTTTCTCTCGGAATCAACTCAGTTTCCCAGTGATCATTAAATTCAAGCATAATTTTTAAGAATAATTCACAAGTATAATCGTTTAGGAGAGGAAACCTTATTACTCCCTTCTTCAGCTTAAAATTGGTTTGCTCTTTACGCGCACAACTTAATTTTCATGCAGTAATCTGTACATTGAAAAAAAACTTCTCCTGGTAGTCTGCTCACCTTGCAAAGGGTCGTCATTGTTTGATGACACCGCCATGTTGTTTGTTCCATGTAACATCAAGAATAATGCTAATACCAAAGTGGCGGCCGCTGTCAGGAAAGCAACAGTAACAACAGCGACCGAAATGCACAGAAGACGACGCACCACAGCAGCTTGTGAATGCAGGGCATAATTTAGAACTTGAATGGCACTCTCTGTAGTTCCTGTTTGCCTTTCATCTCCCCCCAACAGAATTTTCTCAGAGCTCTTTGGCTTTGATGAAATCGCGCCAACTACATCATGGTACATTTCTGCTTCAGTATCGTTTCTAGCTGATTCCATTTCGAGATAAAAATTTTCTCTTCCACGAGGCGATCTATTCATTTTCAGAAGCTAGTAAGCGATGCTGTGTGTTTTTCGAATTATAGAGAGATTTCAGGTACCTTCGCACGTAGTATTGAAACATAATATAGACTCAAAGCTTGTCCACAACCCTCTGTAACAGATATCATTGACCTCTAGGAGACACGAAAATATAAGAACATTCATGATTTTGGGAATTGGCCGATAGATACATGAAATAATTTAGTCTCCTTTATAGGTTAAAATAATCGAGGCCGTTCCGGAGGCTTCCAAGAATGTCCGGGTGCAGGGCAAAGACAACTGATTGGTAGTTGATTGGTAGTTTTTCATTTTAGCTCTGTCTCTGTAAATATTGATTAAAAATGTTCGGATTAACGTGTTCGAACGGCACAATAAATAATGAATCATGACCGCGGGACTTCGGGTTATCTATGTTTTTCTTTTTTTAAATACAAACTTCAAGAACAGACGACTTTCGGACATAAGTAGTTATAATGTACTCTAAATATGCTGGTCTTTTCCAGCTCCTTTCCCTTACCTTTCTGGTAACGCGCTCTCTCTCTCTTCCAGAGTTGGAAACATGTGGACTAACCTTTTGTTTATATCCTGGTCATGCAATCAAGTCATGCAATCGCGACACCGATCGTTTCGTTGTGATTAGAATACGTACAAAGTACAACTAAAGAGGTGGTAACTGATTTTTCCACCAAAATTGTTCGTTGGAACCGACAAATGGATGGTTTTTGTTTTCCAACTTAAGGCTTAAAAAGTTGCAAACCTTTCTAAATAAGTCACCCTCACTTGTAATATTCCGTTACTCGTCGATCGTTATTAAATTATAAACTCGCTGCTCGCGTCTTGATTCCCTGGCCGAATTACAGAATAGATCAATTAGAGCGTTTTTAGTTTTGTTTTGTAAAACCACAGCAAAAAAGCAACATAAATGCAAATCACAAGGAGGAGAAAATATCACTAAAAGGAAAGCAACTCAGAATGAAAACCAGCAAACTGCCAAAGATACAAGAAAATACGTGAGTGGTTTTAGTTTTTCATCACATTGCTTGAAAAATTGGCACCGGCCTTCGTGGTCTATCGCAGAGGGAAGTAAATAAAAGCAACAAAACTTCGCTATGTTTAATTACAGAACTTTTGTGACTTGCAGAGGTTACTTGCACAGACACAACAATTGTCTCAATGACGTTCCGCACAAGCCTTGAATATTACACCGTTTGATTTAAGGTCATCAAATTAGCACCCTATATCATTTGCCAACGGGGCTAATGGCCATTAGAGCAGTTGCCTCCCGACATTTCGCATCGTACATAGATATCATCAATGATATCTGTTTCTTTAAAATCACTTCTCTTAAAATTTAAATCAATTACCTCCCTCTTTCAAAACGAATTATTAATAATTACATTCCGCGCACAAGATTTCGTGCGCACAGATGCAAATTATCGAGAAGACCATTGTACTTATTCTTTTTTTGTCGCACCCAGATTCCACTTGGTAACACAGTCAGTTCATACACCTTTTCAATAAGTGGCTCTTTCCGGTCTGCTAGCGTGTCGGAACGTTATCAGAAGAGCTGATTATCTTGAACGGTAAAGTAATGTCTGATTTATAACACTGTAAAAGTTGTGTTGGTTTTCAATATCATCAGTATACAAAATTAAATATATTTTGTTTCATAAATAAGCAAACTAATGCTTATTCTCTAAATCGGAACTTACGAACTTTTGGTTTTTCCGGCGGGACTGTATCGCCTATACCCTATATGGTCAAACAGTCGGGTTTTCTCTCCCAAAAATGGTCACTGACATTAATGCAGTGATTCTAATGCCTTTTATCCGATTGCTTCCCGAGTGCAAGAGCAATTACATTAAGTGATGTAAGTACTGTTGCCCATTCATTCACGTTGGTCAATCGAGCCACACCCATGAAAATTAGATATTTGATCGTGATGGGCCAGCAACCGTTTAGGTAGGGTGCCAAGAATACTGATCATTCGCTGGAATATAGTTTTCGTTTGATACCTACGATATCAGGCGGAAGACTGGGAGACCTGTTTCAAAACTCTCTCTGGTAAATCACTGGGCCCGACCAGCTCTCCGGTGAGTATGCATCGGTCGGTTGTTTTCATCAAAACACGCTCAGGTAGATGATTGCTAGGGCTCAATTTTGAACGGTTTTCTTCTTCTCATGATAAAACCGTGACGAAAACATACCAGAATACGGAAAGTACTGAAACTGCTTACGCATGTTGCGGGATTTTTGTATGCGGCAAATGCAACCAGCCAAATCTAGAGGCAAAAGTTGCTGTTTACCTTTGATCCTGTAATATGACGATTAAAATACTATTTCTTCATTTCAGTACAAAATGTATTTCTCTCGGTTACAGATAAACAGAACACACACTCTCTTGGAATCAACCTTACAGAGGAGACTGGCGTGAATATGTAAAATCACGGTTAAGCGGTTAACGTCGCAAAAACTTCTATCAAAATTAAATTATTTTTACTGTTCGTGAAAAATTCATCGGCTCGTCTTGTAAAATGTCGGTTTCCAATAAAACTTATGAAAAGTTCTTGAATGTGTGTTCGTTAAATGAAAGAAAATTACTGCACTTTTAACTCTGTTACCTTCCCTAATGCCGAAAGACTAAGTCTGAAATAAGCCATGATCAATATCCGTAACAATATGATCTGATGCAATCCTTAGTTGCCTTTTACTCTTAAGGGGCACATTTGGAAAGAAGTAACTTACTAACGACAAAAAATATGACGTAGTCAGGGTAGTTTTTAATATTACAGCACTCATGTTAAACTACCTAAATTGTTCTTCATCTCGTTTCTGGTAAAACACTCTATTATTGTCTTTACAAATGGCCCTGTTAAACAAACGACTAAACGTTTTTCTATTTAGGACTGACACTCCCAGTAGTGGATATAGCAAAACATAGTTGATTCTCCAGTTGCTAGGCCAAATTTGCAAGAACACTTGTAGGTTCTCTTTCCACCTGAGATGGTGCTTGATAAAATAGCAACTTTTGCGTCATTTGTACCACAGTTTACACCAATAAATGTCGTGTTCTGCCAAAAAAAGAAAATAATGATGACGATATTGATCAATGACGTCAAGAGTTGGAAAAGCAGAAGACTAAAGCATTTCTTTCCTGTTTGTGAATAGATCAATGTACATTTTCTCTCTCACAACATAAATTTTATGTTTTGAGAAAGCCGACGACAAAAGTTCGCTAAAGAGGTTATTTCTTCATGGTCCCTTCTCCCTTACAATGTATGGCGTTCAAATTTTATGCCTCGCGAAACTTAACGCTGAAACGATTTCGAAATTGACAAAAAGAGCAATGACAACTTAAATATCTTTGAATTTGGTGGTACAAGAAGTGACTGTAAAATATTAGTTTCTGGAATTTTCCCAGAAAGCCTGGTCAGTCTAGTCACGGTGACATAGTCATAGTATGTGACTATGAAGAAACTCTACAAGAATAGTTGTGTTGTAGGATTCCGGAATGTTCGAGAAAACGTCATATTCTAGACAAGGACAAATTCTTCTGTACCCATCACAGAGCTAATCCGGTAACTTACGTTTAACTCTATCACCTGCACTTCTTGCCTAGCGGCCACGCCTACTGGCGTTCCAGCGCTGGAGTTAGTATTGTAAATACAGGAACTGGCCCCAGGTCCAGGTGGGCCGCGGGTGCCATTGTACCCAGTTGGTCCACGAAGGCCCTGTAGACCAGGTAATCCAGGCGGTCCTGCAAGGCCCTGAGTACCATTATATCCTGGAAGTCCGGCAGGTCCGGCTGGTCCGGCAAGTCTAATATCACTCTTAGAATTGTTGAATCTCAGTGGCCATGTGATCTAAGAGAAACAAGATATCCTGTTTTGACATGAAGAACGATACTTTTTTGGGCAAAAAAAAGAAATTTTCCGAGAAGAGGAAGTAAATATTTCACTGATACCAAGGAGCACTCGAGAGGAGGAGTGGTGGAAGGCTTGTGCTGGAATCATTCGTGTATTTATGTCCAGAATCTAACTTACTGTCACATTTTCCAGCTTCTTTTCCACCTGCCAAAGAGATAACAACTGTTATTAAACCATAAAGCTGTTATGATAGGGTCGTAATTCTAGAACCAAACACACGAATAGTTGCATTCTGATATCGCCGTCAAAAGCTCTAAGAAACAGTAATGCAAGAAGACGAATATACAGACGAGGAAGAGGAAAAAATTACCTTTGTAACGTTTTTCTCCAGATTCTCTAAACCTTTTGAAACCTGCCACAATAATGAATAAAAATGTTTACATAAAGAGATTGCGTTGTCATAAAATTACACTATTTGATTCAAGTGAGTTTAATTTGGCGTGTACACGTACCACAAGAAGCGTAAGAAATTCAAGAAATGTCTCTGTGTTGATTTGTAACCTTTCATATGAGAAAGGGACATTTGTAGTGAGTATAAAAAGTTAGAAATACATAATTAAATGTCTAAATCTACTAAATGTTTAATAACTGATGCAAATAACGGCTGCAATATCTATGAATTATCAAAATAAATATGGAACTCAACAAGGAAATCAATTAAGAAATATCAAAGAATATAATTCAAAAATATATTTTTGAATTTTTATGGATGATCAGAGTAAACTTACTTTGTTTTCAACATTCAACAACTCCATTTTAATCTGCCATGAAAAAGAAAAAAAACTCTTGAACAACAGACTTATAACTGGATGTGTCGTTATTCGAATGTCAACCACACACAGAGTTTCTTTACTGATAACGCTGCCTCAAGACCCCCATTTACTTCAAAGAAACAGAAATTCACTAACCCACCTCGGCAACTTCCTTCTCCAGAATTTTCTTTAAAACCTGACAAAACAGCGAATAGAAATATGTTCTTGACCAATTATTGATTTAAAATGTAAGACGGAAAGTGATGAAAGGAAAAAAGCAAGGAATAATATGGGAGTCAATCGAAGAACGGAAAATAATTTTGGATAGGCACGAGCAGGAAAAAAGGGACACATTTTCCGAGAAGAGGAAGTAAAGAATTCACTGATACCGAGGAGCGCTCGTGAAGAGGGGTAGCGTAGGCTTGTGCTGGAGGCATTTGTAAATGAAATTCCTGAACTGTTATGTATGTATGTTTAGAGGGAAAAAAAGGGAAGTTTTCCGAGAAGAGGCGGTAAATATTTCACTGATACCGAGGAGTACTCGAGAGGAGGAGTGGCGGGAGGCTTGTGCTGGAATCGTGTATGCATGTCCAGAAACTAACTTACTGTCGCATTTTCCAGTTTCTTTTCCACCTGCTGAAGAGATAAGAACTGTTATTAACCATAAAGCTGTAATGATATGGTCGTGATTCTAGAAGCAAATAGACGAATAGTTGCATTCTGATATCGCCGTCCACAACTCTAAGAAACAGATGCAAGAAAAAAAAAACTTACCTTTGTGATGATTTTCTTCAGATTCTCTAAACCTTTGGAAAACTGTCACAATAATGAATAAAAAAGTTTACATAAAGAGATTGCGTCGTAATAAGATTAAACTATTTGATTGTCTTAAAAAGATTGCACTATTTGATTCACGTGAGTTCAATTTGGCGTGTACACGCACTACAAGAAATGTAAGAAATTCAACAAATGGATCTGCGTTACTTAATGTTTAATAACTGTTTCAAATAACGGCCATAAGATTAATGAATCATTAAAAATTAACACATAACTCAATAAGGAAATCAGTTGATAAATATAAAACGAGATAATTTCAAATATATGTTTTTGAATTGTCATGGATATTCAGAGTGAACTTACTTTGTCTTCGACATTCAACAACTCCTTTTTAATCTGCCATGAAAAAGAGAAAAACATTTGAGTAGCATAGACTTTATAACTGTGTCGTTATTCGAATGCCAAGCACACAAATAGTTTCTTTATTGATAACGTTGCCCTTAGACCCCCATTTACCTCAAAAGAATTAACTAACACTGAAAATTATTTTGAATAGACGAGAGCAGAAAAAAGGACTCATTTTCCCTTCGTTCATCAACAGTCAATTTACCAGGCAGCTTTCTGTAGCAATTTATATTTGAGCCCGCAGAACCCAACTTAAGCTGAAATGGCATGATAAGAATCTTGGTTGATGTTCTGTAGCAGATTGTATTGATTATAGAATATCAAAATTCCCACAACTCGAGGTTTTGTTTTAGTTTCCAGCAGAAGTGGAAGTATCTCGTGATGAGATTTACATCGTTGAATTTTTTTCCCTAATATAACGCAGAATTTTTTACCTACCAAAGATTCTCTCAGAGCCGAGAGGTTCCTTTTCAAGTCTTCTAGATTCTTCTTAAGTTCTAATATTTCTTCATGAATCGATGAAAGAAAAACATTGATAAATGAATGGATGCATAAATACATAGCTGACGATTTAAATAATGATTAGAATAATAATAATGATAATAAAATAGTAATAATAATAATGATAATAATAATAATAATTGTAAAGTCTATCCCGTTGTATTATGTGGGTAAAGCCTGTTTTGTACCTGTTTACATTTTAATGAACACATTAAGGCGTCTGAAAATATACCTCCTAAAAGGAGAGAAGTCATTATCAGCGGAAATGGAATTGTTTTACTGAGCCGTTGCTCTTCGGAGGAATAAAATAAACAATGAGAAACATGAGGAAATCCTCGGTAAAGTAATAGTTTGTTTGAGAAAAATCGAAAGGTATTTGAACTGCGACTCTTCTCCTAGGATTCCATGGAGGATCCTATCAGGAACAGTAAGGTCACGGGAGCTCGATCGGGCAGAAACTGTGCACATATTTTCAGAAGTGCATTTGTACATACACATCGTCGCAGAAGAAACGGTTCAATTACGAAATTATTTTAAACGCTGATTCATTCTCGTCGATCACAACAAATAAGTAATTTAAGTATTAAATCATTTTACGTAACACGATAATATTATGCTCAAGCAAACAATTTCAATCTCATGTTGCCTCTAGGTGGCTCTTTAGAATTACCAAGCTAAGAAAAAAGCCAAAAGTAGACGAAATACATAAAAAAGTAAAAAAAAGTAAAATTGAGAAAGTTTTGTGAATTTATTTCCTGGCTATTCATAGCAAATTTTTTTAAATTTCGAGACCATTATGCGATACCAATTCCAAAATAAACCTTACACATATATGCGTTGGGAAAAATTTTTTTATTAGGTTTCATTACATATCATGTGATTCAATAAAAAAAGTTACGCTTCACTCTTATCTACATTACGTCAATTGATTTATGATTAAACAGCGGGAAAATGCCCTATCTCTAAAATCGTTTTTTTTTTTGTCCGACACAACCTTTTGCCATAAGATCTTTGCGCAAACACTAGGATCCGATTACTGGGAACTCATTCATTGGGGTATAGAAATTAAAACTTGGACGTTCCTAATTAACTTCTTTGAGGCCCATTTTCACCCTTAATGCAACGCGCGCCGCGACCCAATTTCCTGTAACACGAAATTTCCAGATTACTGAAAACCTTCTAAAATCTTCTTTCTCAAGAACCATCCTGGAAATACAGTCAATTGTTTTACGGTAAATACATTCGCCCTCCGGCGTCATTTTACAATCTCCTTATAGTATTTTGAATCAGTTTTTCTGGTAGAATCCGACGAAAAATTTTAAGTGTCACGCTTGGATCACTGCGTACTCTGTGAACACGGTCGGCGAAAAGGACAGGAAACGATTTTTTCGAAATAATTGCTATGCAATGTTCAAAAACAAAAAAAAAAAAACGAATGATGAAAAATATAACCTGGCATAACTGTTAAAATTTATACTAATCATGACGGTGTCAGAGCGACTGCGATCATGCTGAGGTCTATCGAGGCTAGCTCGTCATTGCGATCTTCGATTATCGCAGTGGAGCAAGCTTCAGGAACTAAATCGACTGCCCTTCGAGAAGAAAAATAAGAGCTTGCTCTGGTAAACTTTCCGATGCGTTGAGTGGAAGGCCACATCAGTCAGTGCAGCCGAGTTTTACGGCGCTGTCATTCCGAGTGATCCTCATGTCCCGGTGAATTCGGCTGTTGTTCATTCATAAAACACTCGCCTTGAACAGTTTGTTTTCTACTTGTCGTGCGAAATAACTTGCGTATTTTTGTGAGCCACGATTGGGCCGAATCTCACTGAACATTTCACTTTCAGATTCTGTTCTAGAAACTAAAAAACTTCAGACAAAACTGTTAAATTCGACATGCCAAACTATTTTAGTTTGAAAACTATTACAGAATATGAACTTTGATAGTTGGACATTTTTGATAGCTTTAGTCCTGTACAGCCAATCAGATTATTTCAATCATTCTAACAGGGATTCTGATTGGCTTATTGTAGCGTGCTATATGAGAGTATAGAGCATGGCGACGACACTGTTGTTCGCTTTGGAAATAAAGTTTGTATTGAAAATTGAAAGTAATTCTTGGGGAATTTAACGGATTCGTCATTATAAAACAAATAGAGAAGCCCTGACTGTGCTCTGTTCTCTATTGGTCTCGGAAAAACTGTGGATAAGCCATAAAAAGAGAACTCTTTTGCGATAGATTAAATATTTCGGTCTGAACGGGTAACACTGGATGCAGTTTCGCTATTATGATTCCCAAAGGGGGAAGGATGATCTTATATTTAATTGGTGAGACTTCCCTGATCATCTTATACGTTAATGACATTTATTCGCTGTCAATAAACTGAGTCCAAGAAATACAAAAAAACGAACAAGGAAAAAATCTGAAAAACCCTGTTCATCGCACATATTTTGAGGCCAGGGAAAGGGGGGGAGGGGTGATTTTTGTGTAAATGAAGAGAATATCGCTGAATATCGCTGTCAATCAAGGTATTCAAGGTATGAATTAAAATTTAGAATAAAACATCTTCTGAGTCAACAAATACCTGTTTCTCCAGAGCAGGTACATTGGGGTGAACCAACGTGGAGCACACCAAACAACATCAGCAAGGTGAGCCCAAGAGAAACTGCTGAGAGGAAACACATAGCCAGCAGAGCCACACGATACAATCTCTGACCTCGGCTGGTACCGCTCTTCTCGTCATCAGTTTGCAGCAAACCATTACCATTGCTCATATTCCTGATTGAAATACCTTTCAGTTGCTCTTGACCGTCAATGGTCGCTTTAGTTTTCTTTGTGGTAAGGAAGAGCTTTTCTTCTACTTCGGTAGGACGGTTTTCCTGAAGCTCTATTTCACAATTAGACGCCACAGGTGAGTTCGATCGTTGCCCAGGGGAAACGCTTCTGTTTGAAAAAGACATGTTCCTCTCCAGAGTCGTTCCTATAGACGTGTTATTCTTTGCCTTTCCTTTAGAGGTGCTAAATCAACAGTCAGTAAGACGTAGGCACCCGAAAAGAGAAATAGATATTTAGAGTCTGAGAAACTGCCACGTCATATGTAGTACCATTTCCATAGTAACGGA